TGCAGATGACATGAAGGCGTTCTTCCCAGAACAATGGTGAGAAAAGGCATGGGACAAAGAAAGGTCAGACATTAGCCAGCAAATCCTGAGGAAAACCAAACTTTTTCATTTCCTCATTGCTCAGGCAGGGGATTTTTGAGAACAGCCCTGTGAATTTGATTCTCTACTTCTCAGAAAAGATGGGATAGGGAACGTCAGAAATAATGTTCTGGTTGTTCAGTCTTTTTTCTGTTAAACCAGCATTTACAGAACCTGAGACCTAGGACACTGAAGGAAAGGAAACTTGAAATGTCATTGCTCTCATCCTATTTCAAGTCCTTGGGGAGAACACCTAGAAGAAACCCTCCGAGCGTGCCTTTCTGGGTGGTCCAGTCCAGAACCTCTGGGATGGGAGACCCACTGCAAAGTGTACAACCTGGGAACCTGCCCCAGTTTGAAGTGGCTTCAATGGAAGCTGCAATGAAGTGGAAACCTGAAAGGTCCATTAGAGCTAACATGATGAACATGGTTTGTACTGGGACCCAGAGGCAACAGCACGGGGGTCGCTCAGAGCGATGGTGGGACTGCAGTGTCACGTGGAGTGGGAACAAAGGTGTCAGTAGAGACAGGGGCTGACATTATACACAAAGCCATGAGATCAGAATCATGTGTTAAAAGAGTTACATCTTCTAAAACCCTTCCTTTTCCTATGGTGCAGAACACAGATGGAGGAGAGGAGAGACGGGGCTTGGGAGGAGTGTCAGGAAGCTTTTTTCTGGTCAAGAAAGGGTAGATTTCTCTTGGACTCAGTTGGTGATAGCTCAAAGAAAAAAAAAAAAAACGGTGACAAATAGGATCCAGCTTCCGTGTGGGAATGTGGGAGAGGGACAAGCCACTGAGGACTGGAAGCTTTCAGCTTAACAGCAGCTTAGGGGACACTGACACTTATATATGGAACTGTGAACAGTCAGAAAAGGAACCGGGGATAGACATTATGGTACAGCAGATGCAGCCACTGTTTGAGATGGCCACCTTTCATATTGGAATTCCTGGGATCCAGTAGGTGCCTTTGAGGCAGCAAGCAGTGACTCAGTACTTGGGTCCATGCCACCCCACGTGGGAGATGTCCCTGGTTCCTGGCTCCTGGCTTTGCCTTTGGCTGTTGTTTGTTTAGAAGATTGATCTTGCTCCCCCCCCCCCTTTCAAATACATATACAAAGAAATTCAAAGAGAGAGAGAGAGAGAAGTCAATTTGAAGGAGGAGGATGAACAGCTGCGCTCCAGACAGGGTAAATCCGCATCACCTATGAAGATATCTGCACTCCCCTGCAACCCTCTAGCCTAGGCAGGACCTGCCAGACCTGAGCTCTGTCCTAACTCTCTCATCTCTCTCTGTCTCTCACTCTTACCACTCTCTATGGGCTGTGTCTATCATGGACCATTATCACGATCCAATCATGGCTTCAGATTTTAGCTCACTTGATTTTTTTTTTTCCTGCACTGCACTTACCCAATGTTAAGAACTGAATGTCATGTCCCACCCCCACCCCCTGCCCTACCCCTGCCAGATCCATACGCTTTGAAGCCCTAAGCTCTGGGACCTAAGATAACACCTTGTGTTTGGAGATAGGGAATTGACCTTTAGAGTGGCAAATTGAAATGAAGCTGTTAAGGTAGGCTTATGACGGGCATGCTGATCCAATGTGTGGGATTATCATACTAAGGAGTAGAGGGAAGGATAAGGGAAGACGTTGGGAGAGGACAGGGAGAAGACATAACTGGGACAGAGCATTCAGGAGAAATCAACCAGGCTAACACCTTGGTCTTGCTCTTCTCGCCTCCAGATGTACAAGGCCAATCTAAGCTGTGTAGTTCATGGGACTTTGTTACAGCCCGCACAGGCTAAGATTACAATCAACGTCTTCCAACATTGACAAGTCCAACTCCTGCCTACTGCTGCACTCCTTTCTAAGGGAGAATACAGCTGGCCAAACTCTGAGCAGCCTTGCTTGAAACTCACGCCCACTCAGTGACATGCTTAGAATGCGCCCTTTCCCCAGTCCACTGGCCCTGCCGGTCTCCTGCCGCCTGTGTCAACAGACCGCCCCTTGCAGGGGACAACCTTTCCTCTCATTTCATTTAAAAGGGACCAGAAGAGGATGTTCTGAGTTCAGTGACTGAAGAACACTATGTGAAGCTTTCTTTTGTAAACTTTAATGGATTATTCATTAACTTTATTAACTTTATTCATTAACTTTATTAACTTCATTAACTTTATTCATTATTTAGAACTACATTACTGGATTTTTTCCCCAAATGCTTGTTTTTTTATTTGTTATCCATTTTAAACTCATGCCTTTAGTGTAATTTCAGTCATCAGAAATTTGTTGGCCCGGATATTGTTAATTTTTGACAATCTTACACAAAATTAAAAAATGAAATAGGGCCCGGCACAGTGGCGCAAGTGGTTAAGGTCCTCGCCTTGCACGCCTGGGATCCCATATGGGCGCAGGTTCTAATCCCGGCAGTCCCGCTTCCCATCCAGCTCCCTGCTTGTGGCCTGGGAAAGCAGTCAAGGACGGCCCAAAGCTTTGGGACCCTGCACCCAGTGGGAGACCCAGAAGAGGCTCCTGGCTTCGGATCAGCATAGCATGGGCCGTTGTGCTCACTTGGGGAGTGAATCATCGGATGGAAGATCTTCCTCTCTGTCTCTCCTCTCTGTATATCCGCCTTTCCAATAAAAAAATAATAAAAATAAATCTTTAAAAAAATTATTTATCCTATAATTCCATAAGTTCTTGGATTTCAGAACATTGTCTAAAATTCATTTTAGTTCAACTTTATTCATTATTTAGAACTACATTACAGGATTTTTTCCCCAAATGCTTGTTTTTTTATTTGTTATCCATTTTTAACTCATGCCTTTAGTGTAATTTCAGTCATCAGAAATTTGTTGGCCCGGATATTGTTAATTTTTAACAATCTTACACAAAATTGAAAATTGAAATGAAAAATGAATTGAAAAAAATGAAAAAAATCATTCTACAATTTGGAGATATGGTAATTTATGTGTCAATTACATTTATTTGTGTTGCCTAAATCTACTATATAAATTTGTTTCTATTCGTTTAATGAGTAACTGAAACTTGTGCATTGTAAAATCACCCACTGTGCTTTCACTCACTATGATGGGAAGGAGAGAAGTTAAAGAATTGCAATGGGGCCCAGCGTGATACTCTAGTGACTCAAATCCTTCTTTTCATGCGCCAGCACCCAATATGGGTGCTGTCTCCTATCCCGCCTTCTTCAATTCCCATCCAGCTCCCTGTTTGTGGCCTGGGAAAGCAGTTGAGGATGGCCCAAAGCTTTGGGACCCTGCACCCACATGGGAAACCTGGAAGAAGCTCTTGACTCCTGGCTGCAGAGTGGCTCAGCTCCTGCTGATGGCAGCCTCTTGGGGAGTGAACCAGTGGAAGGAAGATCTCTGTTTCTCCTTCTCTCTGTGCATTTGCCTTTCTAATAAAAATAAATAGACAAATCTCTCTCTCTCTCTTTTTTTAAAGATTTGTTTATTTATTTGAAAGTCAGATATACAGAGAGGAGGAAAGACAGAGAGGAAGATCTTCTGTCCCATGATTCACTCTGCAAGTGAGTGCAACGGCTGAGGCTATGCCAGTCTGAAGCCAGGATCCAGGAACTTCTTCCAGGTCTCCCACATGGATGCAGGGTCCCAAGATTTTGGGCTGTCCTCGACTGCTTTCCCAGGCCAAAAGCAGGGAGCTGGATGGGAAGTGGAGCTGTTGGGATTAGAACCAGTGCCTTATGGGATCCTGGCGTGTTCAAGGCAAGGACTTTAGCCACTAGGCCATGCCGCCGGGCCCAATAAATCTCTTTTTAAAAGAGAATCCGCAGTTGTCACCAGCACCACTGACCTGCCACCCCTGAACCACGCCCTCCATCTTTCTTCTCACCGCGGTCGCACCCACCCACTTGTGAGCCTTCTGCTGGGGCAGGCCACCTTCTGCAGGACCACTGGTGGCCTGCCTACTGGATCATGCCTTACCCAGCAAACATGCAGAGATCTTATCTCAGGATGAAACAGTTTCCCTTGACTACTCAATGTCTTCAACCCATGACTTGGTTTCTCTTGCTGTTTGGACAGAAAAACTCTTTATTCACATAAAATACCCATCACGTGACCAATACATTTCTTCTTTTGCATGTACTTTGAGCAAGTGCTGTCTCATTGTTCTAGACTGATTCCTCATGTCAGTGCCCACGTTGCCCTTCTGCTTGTCTAGAGGCCATGCTTCCCACTTCCCTTGCTGCAGTTCCCCCCTCTATCTGACCTGTATGGGAGCTCTTTGCTTCCCTTGTCCCTGCTCTCCCGGCCAAAGTCATCATAGCTCGTCTCCATCTTTCCATCCTTATTTCCTAAAATTTATTCTCAAGGAGAAAGCTGGATTGTGTCCTTAAAACGCCATGTCAGGCAGAGCTGTAGTAGATCTGGGCTCCTGCTGGGCACACGCTGAACACCTGGGAAACAGGAACCCAATCCTCCCAACTTCCTGGAGAAGGAGGATGATGCTTCCATCTGCCCGTCAGAGTTGATGAAGTCTGGAGAGCTTGAGCAACTCGTCCTGTGTTAGAGTTTAGCTGCTGAATGCTTCTTGAGCCTCCCCAGGTGGCTGATTAGACATTGTGGAAACAGATGTGGCGGTGGCACATTCTTTCACAGGCAGTTGACAATGTGTAGGTGCGGGGACACCGGTGGGCGGTCGGCCCTTACACTTTCCAAAAACCATTTCTAGCTAGAGCACAGGGTTGATAAAGAGAATGGCCAGTGGCAGCAGGCCGCACTGCGTGTGAGGGGACATTCACGCAGTGAGGGAGGCTTGCTTCCCTCTGCCACTCAGGAGCTGGGGTGTGAGCTGCTTTTGATATCTCCCAAGTGCCTTATCGAGTCCGGCCACCCAAGGAAGTTTGCAGCAGGGGGCTGGGCGTGGGGAAGGGAAGCGGAGAGTCAGAGGAAAGCAAAAGAGAAAGGGGCGGTGCAGTTTAAGAAGCGGGTCTGCGCTCCCTCGGTTCCTTCCCAGCCCAGTTTGGTGCCCTCCGCTCCTGTTGGACGCAGCAGAAGCCGCATCCCACGCGATGGCGGACTACGAACTCAGTCCGGCGTCTGAGGACGGACCGCGCGGCGGGACCTCTCGGCCAGTCAGAGTTGGCCTCATCGTCTGTCTCCTGGTAATCTGCATCATGGCCATCGTGATCGGATACCTCGGATACCTCGTCTGGGCCCAGAGGTCCTCGGGCCCCACCGACTACGTCTCGGGGATCGTCCTGGGGCGCTGCCTCAGCTTCACTCGGATTGCGCGGCCGGAGCTAAGGTAAGCTGTCGCTGGAGGAGCGCTGCTGGGCGCCCTGCTCGCTGAGCACCTCTGCGCACTTGGGTTCTCCTCTCCACTGGGATCCGCCGGATACTGCTGTCGCTGTGCACCCCCGCACGCGCATCCCTCTGGACACTTTGCGCGGGCAGCAGTCTGGATTGCCCCAAACCCGGAGTTCTCCGCTGCGCCCTGAGCGTTGCTAGGCAGCGTGAGTATTAGGTTCGGGTAACAGCATCCAGGGTAGGCGCCCAGCACTCTCCGAAGAGGCGCCTTCTGGACAAGGTGCTTTGGGTTGGCGCACTTGGCGCGGCCGCGGGCCCACCCTCGGCACTTACAGCCCAACTAACTGCTGGGCGGAAACCAACTGGCTGGTGCGAGGGCGTAGCTGACTTGTTCAGTTTTGCGCGGGAGTTTCTGTTCTTTGTCTCTGCCGGGAACGTGTCCTAAGACGGATACAGGCGACACTGGGTTAGCAATCGCGTGGACTTGCAACTGACAGGCGTTTTGTTGGCTTCTACAAAATCGCACCCCAATCTTGGCCGCGCTGAAATGTGGACATCCGTAGAAATATACCTTCACCACCGCTCTCTTGATTGCATTCCCAGGGCTTGGTTTCATCAGGGAGCTAGTTTCCAGTTGAAACGTGGATAAAGCAAACAAGTGGGGCAGGCGCCCCTGGAGTCCACGCTAGGTATTGGACATCGCGTTATTTCCAGTTCAATTCCGTTAGCATCGCGACTGCTTCAGAGGCGCAGGAGGTGGTCCCTGGGGAGGAAGTGAGAGCGGGGCGTGTTCTGACAAAGGCGCCTGAGGTCAAGTTTGCAAACAACTCGTGGGCAGGAATTCCAGGACTTTCACTAGTAGGTTCGTCTAGGGAGTATTGAATGGTCTGCACTTTAATGAATGAATTAAACAAAGCGACTGGAATTCTATCTGAAATGGCTGCGGGGTGTCTTTTATTTGTTTTCACCTTTATTTTATGTTTTTAAAAATTGCTTTGGTTGTTACCCAGTCACTTTCAGCTGAGTTCACGCTGCAGATTAAGTTAGCATATGATTATTGATGCAGTGTTTGCGGGTTTGCCCGCTGGATATTAAACCGCCACGGTGTGCTGTGTGTGTGTGCACCTTTCCCACATACTCAGAGGTATTTGCTGTATCTGCTCAACAAATTAAATTGTGTCTATTTAGATCATTATTCCAGTTAATAAGTTAGCAAGGTATAAACTTAGAATTTCGGTGAAACATTCAGACATTTCTATGATCGCATGTGCACACATGCTTTATACATGTAACAATGTGATGCTTCCTCTTAAAGCATATCAGTTCTTTTAGGCCTTTTGTAACGCTGTGGGGTTGTTACTCATGGAATCTATTTTATAGATAAGCAAATAAAGGTAAGGGATTTGAGTGAATCGTCCGGAATTTGGCTCCAGAAACTGAAATGCTGAGCCACCCAACCATGCTGCCTTCACGCATCCCATAGGTAGCGTGACCATGAAGTATGTGGGCTTGTCTAGTGGGCACTACAACACTCGGCTTTGTCTGCTGGCTGTGTACCAGAGCATGTGGTCACTGCCGGCTTAGGAGTGTGAACCTGGGGGTCAAGTATGAACCACTGGGCAAGTCACTCTTTTTTTCAACCCCAGTAGTCTGAAGTGCACTGTATCTACCCCCCCGGAGACAGTCTGAGGGTTAAGAGGCATAATCCTGTTGCTATAACAACAAGTGTTCACAATGTGATTTTATTTTCTTGTTTTAGAAGTACAAAATCACACAGCACTTTCCGCTGTAATAAACGCAGAAGAAAGCAGACCTTCTAAAGTGATGGTCTGGTTGTCATCTTTGTATCACAGTCTGGCCCTTCAGTCCCCCAGTGAGGGAACCAACATGGACTCTCATTTCCTTCTAGTACTCTCTTGTTCACACACCACGTGGTCTTGGAGTGCTTTCAAGTCAGCACATTCAGATCTAGCTCCCTCTTTTAGAGACTCAGAAAATTCCAGACAGGATGTTACAGTATAGAAGTAACTATGTCCAGTTGACAGAAAATTAGTTTGTTTCCCATTTTTGAGTCCTTTTTGTTCATTTAGCAAATGTTTTCTGAGCTTCTGTTGTGTTTCAGGCAGTGTTGGAGCTATTGGCGGTGGGGGAAGTTCCCACATTGCTGAAGCTCTCGTGGCACTCGGAAGCCACATGCTGCAAAGAACATCTTCATTCATACACTTTTGGGTACATCCAGAGTGCAGCTTTAGGATAGACTTCTGGGGATGGAATTGCTGGGCCCAAAGAGGGTTGTGTGTGTTGTGAATTTAGATACTTCTGAATTCCCTCCAAGAGAGCTGCGCCATCTGAGCACTCTCACGTCGCTCTGTGGGAGGCTATGCTTTCCTGCATCTATTTCCTGCTGATTGTCTTCAATGGTTAATTACAAGAAATGTGACTCAGGTGATTGTTTGCTCATCACCCTTGAGTCTAACTCCCTTGTGTATGGTTCTTGGCCATATCTCTGGGACTTTCTGGTGCAGATACTGGCTCATTTCTAAGGAGTTGCTGATTGGCGAGGGTGGGGAGGAGGGTTGGTGAGTCCATGATATAGTTTAAATAATATTCTCTCTCTCTTTCTCTCTCTCACACACACACACACTGTTCTCCAGCCATGTCCCTGAAATCTTGACCCAGTGTACCTGTTGCTGGTGGTATTCTGGGGTTCATCATTGCTGTGAAGCCATTTTCTATATATCTCCACTAACAACTTCTTACTTGTCTCTTAGGCCTCTAGCAAAAGAGAAAGTCCTGAGATCTGCCTTCATCTGTCTGCCACCCTCATGCTAGGAATGCAACGGAACAGTCAAAGTCTCCAGAGAAATGGCGTAACACAGTGTAATATTATACATCATAATGAATAGATCTTAAGGACTGGCTTACACCATTGTGTAGGCTGGTAATTAGAAGGTCTGCATGCTGGAGTAGCAGCCTGGAGACCCAGGAAAGTGCTCACATTGTAGCTTGAGTTCAAAGGTGTCTCTGACAGGTTTCCCTTTCTTGTGCCTGAAAAATCTTTTTATTTCTTAGTGCAATCAATTGTTTAGATGAGGCTCACTCATGTCCTGAAGGTAGAGTGTTTTATACCAACTCTGTCGATTAAAATGCTTACCTTATCTGACAAAACCTTGTGAACACCAAATAGATGAGTTTGATTGAATATCTGGGTGAGGTGATGTAGACAAGTCCACACAAAATTCATCACTACTTGGGTGTTTTGTGATTCTGTCACATAGTAACTTATTTCCAGGTGCCATTTTGTCATTAGGTTAGCAACTGCAGCATCAGAAATGACTGCATTAAGATTTAGTGAGTCAGGGCACCAAGTATTTATTCGTTGTGATTGATTCTGTAGGATAGCTGGGATCAGGTGGATGACCTGTGCCACAGGATGTTGGCTAGGGTTGCAGTCCTTTGGGGGAAGCGAGTTAACTGTAGCATCTCAGGTGTCTCATTTAGTGGGATTGGTTCCTGCGCTCGACTCAGCTGGTCAGACCACCCTCTGTAGTCTCAGGGTCTCTCCCCTTCTGAGTGATCTCCCCTCATTATCTCTCCTGGGTGCAGCTGACTTCCTTCAGAGTCCCTGGACTGTCAGGAGTGGGCCTAGGTAGGCTTCTTTCTGCTCTAGAGCCAGCACTGGCCTTGCGTTACTGCCACCTACCCTGTGGCTTCTCACAGTTCCCAGGCCAGCCACATTCAAGAGGAGGAGGGACTGACTCCAGGCCTTGATGGAGGCAGTGACGAACAGTTCTTGAACAGCACAGCCCTTTGTACATGGTTATGTGAGCATTTTTGTTAGTATTTTCTTCTGTTCCTTTCTATTCCTTGGTTATATCTGCTGCCCTATGTTATTACTTTTTAAAAAAGACTTATTTAGTCCATATATTTAAAAGGCTGTGTGTGTGTGTATGTGTGTGTGTGTGTGTGTGTGTGTGTGTGTGTGTGAGAGAGAGAAAGAGAGAGAGAGAGAGAGAAAGAGAGAGAGAAATATCTTCCATCTGCCAGGCCGAAGCCAGGAATCAAAAGCTTCTTTTGGGTCTCCTTCCTGAGTAACAGGGACCTACTAACTTGGTCATGTTCCACTGCTTTAGCAGGGAGCTGAATCAGAAGTGGAGCATCTGGGACTCAAACAGGTACCGATTAAACATGCAGGTGCTACAGGCAATGCCTTAACTCACTGTTTCGTAGCTCCAGTCCTCCCGAATTTTCTTCTACCTTAAGTGGCTAGATTTCAAAAATATGAAATTCTAATTCAGGTTTTCTGGAATAAAAAACCTTAAATCTAGGAACATTTGCTCAATTTTATATTTTGAGGATCTAGACTACTGCCTAGAATATAATATGCATTAAATATTTGCTTGAGCTAAATCAATATTATATAAGAAGATATGTTCCAAATTATATGATGAATTTTACAATACCATTATTCCCAAATCCATCAATTTTTGTTTGCAGCCCATCCAGTGTTAAATTTGCTTTTGGTGCAGAATTTGTTGAAATATATTCTATAGGTTATAGAATTTTATCTTCCTCATCTGTTGTTTCCCAACAATCTCTTACTTACACAAAATTCATTTTCTGCCAGTCTTCTGGGTGAAGCAAGCACATATTTTCTTTTGTTATAAAATGGAACTTACTTTAGGGCTCTTTTCTTTGAAAAGCAGAGCCAAAGAGAGAGAGAGGAGATTTTCTATCGTTTGGTTCACTCACCAAATAGTCACAAAAGCCAGGCCATTCTAGGCCAAAGCCAGAAACCTGGCACTCTAGCTTGGTCTCCCATGCAGGTGGCAGGAACCAAGCCCATGAGTCATTCTTTAGTGCTTTTCCAGGTGCATTACCAGGGAACTGGATTGGAACTGGAACAGCCAGGTGGCAGGCAGTGTCTCTGCCCGTTATGCCACAGTGCTAATCCCCAAGCGAAGCTCCCTTCTGTCAAAGATGGCCTTGGACATGTGA